CGAGGGTTCGGATCCCACATACAGACCGGTTCCCGCTCACTGGCTGAGCGAGGCGCGGGAGCAGCACCAAGGGTTGCGATCCCGTTGCTGGTCCCCGGTCCAGTGCGGGGGCAACACTGAGGGTTGTGATCCGTTGCCGGACACGGAAAAAGACAAAAGGCCAAAAAAAAAAAAAAAAAAAAAGAAATCACTATAGAATACATATTTATGACCAACTTCAGACTTTATAAAGAAAAATTACCACCCACATTAAAAATTGAGGAAAACAGAGAAGAAAAAGAAAAATTTATTTATTTATCAAAAAGATGACTGGTAAGGGGATCTTAACCCTTGACTTGGTGTTGTCAGCACCACGCTCACCCAGTGAGCAAACCGGCCGTCCCTATTTAGGATCCGAACCCGTGGCCTTGGTGTTATCAGCACCACACTCTCCCAAGTGAGCCACGGGCCAGCCCAAGAAAAAGAAAAATTTAGACATATGATTAGACCGCCCACAGTATCTTTAACCTTACTTTTCTACATTTTTAGATCTTGTATATATTCTTCCAATTACTTCTTAAAAGCATGCATAATCTTCTGAAATGAGAAGAAAATGCTTCAAGTTTCCATTTGTTCCTATGATAAACCAACACTGTGATGAACTTACTTATAGTTAAATGTACAGATTTCTTCAAATAAAGTACATTTCCATGAATTACTTCTTTAAAATTTTCCCAGTTATAAAAGCATACTGAGAACTTTCTGCAAACATTTCTAATGTAGTGCAAGAGATGTGACCTTTTTTTAAAAGGTGGACAATATCACTGGAAATACGTTAGAGAAAAAAGTCAAACCCCAATAACAAGCTCTATTTGAGTAGAATTTTACTAGTAATGATACAAATATAAACTAAATATCCTGCCAGCAAGGATAATTAAAACACTCATTAACCTCTCTGGAATGAGAAAATGCAGAGGGTCAGCTAGCACAGTGGCAAACACAGCTGTCACACACATCATTGCCTTCTCACTATTTTCTTGCTATGCTCCTCAGTCTGTGTTTAAATTTTAAACCCTTTTTTTCTTTTTACTGCTGGGAGGATAGGAATGTTTACAATCAAAACTAGGGAGACAAAGATGATGAACAGCTGCAAACCGGCAGCACAAAACAGCTGTTGATAGGTTTAGTATCACTCAGCAATATTCAGCTGTTCTCTTTATATGGAGTAAGTGATACATGGGCTGAATGCATATAAAAAAAGTATCTAGGAAATTTTTTAACAATCATAACTGGTCAACTGTCCTGTAGTCTCTTTTTTCTTTCTTTTTTTTTTTTTGGTGGTTGGCCTGCACAGAGATCCCAACTCCCTTGACCTGGGTGTTACAAGGCAGTGCTCTAACCAACTGAGCTAACCGGCCAGCCTCTGTAACTGCTTTTTTTTTTTTTATAAAAAGATGACCGGTAAGGGGATCTTAACCCTTGACTTGGTGTCGTCAGCACCACGCTCACCCAGTGAGCAAACCGGCCGTCCCTATTTAGGATCCGAACCCGTGGCCTTGGTGTTATCAGCACCACACTCTCCCAAGTGAGCCACGGGCCA